CCCTTGCATTCAGTACTTTCTTCTGTCTTCCTCCACCCCACCCTGCCTCATACTCTGAGATACTCTCATTGAGGGTGCTACTTACATGATTCTGAAAGGTACTACTATACCATCATGGCCAGCTGTAAAGTTTTTCAAACTATATATTTGTGAGCATGGGGGAAGGACGATTTCATGCTCACCTTAATTTTACACCTTGGGAACTTACCATAAGGGTATAGGAAATGTACAAGTCCCAAGGATTTCCTGAGGTCAAGGAACAAAGTTCTATTGCAGCTCATTGCAGCCAGAGCTGAGGGCAAGAGAGAGATTCCTTGGGAAAATGAATCCTCAGAACAAAAGTGTTTTGAATTCAAAGGGATGGCTTATGTGGTCCATAAAAATGAAAGAAAATGAAACTCATAGAAGTAAGAGGTTGTCCTAGTACGTTTGCAAGCATCCTGCAAGCCTACATGATAGAAACAGGATACTCTATCACAAAAAGCAAATCTGTGGTTATGAAGATTTTGGGTATTTCAGGGACAGATGCATCTAGGCAGGGATTGTGTCGCTATTTTTCAGTGAGGTATACGCCAAAGTGAGGAAGAAGAGAACATAAAACACTTCTGAGAAGACTTATCAACTGGTATGAGCCACCTTTGGTTGACCCTGCTTCAGATGTCCAGGCCAGACGGGAAAGAATTTTTCAGGGCCAAGTGCTAGGAAAAACATCAGCCAGTGTATCATCACATGTTACTAAGAACATATCTGAATTTCTCCAATGTGAATTCTGTGAAGCTATAAGCATTTGCCAGAGGTTTTCAATTTGATAGGTTATATGCTATCACTTCATATATACAGTTCCTGGAAAGTTATGAAATTCTTAAAGAAAGCTTCAAAGACCAAGAAAAAGTTTTGCACAGCAGATGCAATAATCATACCCTGTACAAACCTGTCACATCACACTTCTCTAACACTGCATGCAGAAACTAGAGAGGAGGGAACAGAGAGACTTCAAAAGAAATTACCTGATCTGGATAGATGTTGGGCTGACAAATGTGCTGACTTGATGTTCAGACCTGGGGGTAACATTTAGAAGTTATGGGTGTTACTATGGTACTGAAATGCCAAGCATTTTTGCTTGGTCATGCTGGAAATCCTGCAGATAGAAGGTAAAGTGGCTAAGATATCCAGTTGCTTTTTTACCTTAACCTTTCATTTCTTGCTTTGTGTCTCAAAGTCTCTATTGCATTGTTGATAAAAACCTTTGTTCTTCATCTCATCTGGTGTTAGAGGTGAGAGTGGAGAATTGACTGAGGTGAGGTACCAAATCTTTTCCGTTATGGAATAATCAAATAAAGTAGGCAATGTGAGCAGCCTGAGAAACATACAGATCAAAACAGGACTGGGCCCTGGGTAGTTGTTGTTATTTAGCAGCATCCCTAACTTATCCCCGGTTCTTTCTTTTTACTATTTTCCTTAAAAACAGAAGACAAAATGACAGGCACAGCTCTCAGGAAACCTCAAGATATTACAATGGTCCCTTGGGTGACACTTTGTGTCAGTGTCACTCTGACTCCCCAGAAGGCTACTTCTGCCCTGGCATTGCCCAGATTAAGGAAGAGAAAAACAATTTGGTGAAGGCCAGCTGTTCCACTCAAAATCCCAGGTGCAGCAAGTCCCATTCTGCCTTTGATCTTTTTCTCTGTTTGATAAAATTTTCTCCAATGTACCTCAGGGCTGTGGTTGCTGGACATTCTAAAGAGGAAATCAATGGGCATAGATTTACAATTCTACAATATAAGGTTTTAGAATGGAGTAACATTCTGTGAAATTTATCCTCCGCAGGGAGTAAGCAAAGAACAAGTTTGGCCCATTAGTGTGACCCACAGTTCCAAGTGAAGTCAGTGAGATTTTGGGAAGAGAAAAAATTAAACATCTGTAACCAATGGGTCTAGTGATATTTCAAAGAACAAGGGGGGTTAAATGTAGGTCCAAATGGAAAAGAGAGCATATGGAGTCCTGGCAACTGAAATAGTCAGTGTAAACCCAGCTAAGCTTCATCAGGGAATAATTTGACCCTTGATTTTTCCATCATATATGGAGACAGAGAAATAAAACAACTAAACAAGTTAAAGAAAATGACGCCATTATCCAAAAGGATAATTGTCTGTGCTGTACCTCCAGCACAGGGGAACAGAACGTGGGAAGGACTGAAGAGCTGCACTCAATACTTTTGTCAATTCCCTTATCTGCTTTTAACAGTGTGAAACTCTGCTTAGATTGTGCAGGTGGTGAAAATTATGGCTCGAGGGGTGCAGGGACAAATCCTCACCATGGTGCATGGCAACCCCAGAGCCAGGTACACTAGTGCTGCTTGCTGTGCTTCTGCTTATGCTCAAGGCTGCTGAGACCCTGTGGAGATCCCCTTTGCCAGCTGAGAGCCCAAAGAGTTGCAGGGATATCTGGTGGCAGCACAGAGCCTTGTGCCTGGGGGATTCCTTGGCAGCCTCAAATATAACCCAACTAGCATTTGAGCTGAAGTGCAGAAGAAATGAGCAAAAGAAAGGATTAATTCTGGCTCCACTTTCCCATAGCCACGCAGGGACAGCAGTAGTGCGTGGGAAGTGCTGTGTTCAGGACTCCCCCTGGGATTTATTCAACTGGAGGTCACCAAGTCCTGGCTCTCCTTTCCCACCTTTGGGAGTATGAGTAGGAACTTGCAGTAACAGAATGTATTAAATTTATTAAAATGGCGTAATGAGCTATTCCTGACCAAAAGGGGCACAGTAAGTCCTGCTGTGCCTCTAAAGATGTTTTATAAAGAGTAGAATCACACTGGGCTTGTGAGAAGAAGGCTAAAGTGATCTGATCTGAAGCCAAGAGTTGCAGTGCAGGATGCTGCCTGTGGGTTCTTGCAGAAAGCAGACCGAGCAGTCATCCTTTGTCTTTACTGTGCCCAGTCAAAAGTTCTTGAGTTGTAGAAATGAGAGCTTAAAGAAAATTTGTCTTTTAGAGTCAAGTCTGATCCGTCTCAGAATGAAAGGACACCAAAGTGTTCCTGAGAGAGAGCAGTCCCCTGCAACCATATCCAATGCATTATCCTTACCAATCTTTATTTGAAAAGGACAATGTTATAAGCCTACCTGAAAGCAGAGATTACAGGCCAGGAACAGTAGGATTGTGAGCCTTCCAAGTATGAATCACATCACCAGCAATTTTTCCCTGAAGGGAGAGAATTAAGAAGGTATGTAAGGAAAATAATAATGACTACTTCTGAAAGTGCAATTAACCAATAAACATTTACATTTCTTCTACTGGAAGCAAAGCTAAGATTTCTTTCCCCTTTCCTGAAGTCACCTGTCCTAAGTTTAAGGCTGACTTAAAAGAATCGGTTCCAGGGTGCCAGTACTGGGGTGTCTCTGTCTGCAAGTCAGTCTTCCTGGCCCTGCCTGGCACCTCTCCTCTGTCTTCATGGTGTGCTGGCAGCTCTCCATAGCCATCACTCAGGCTGCTCACTCTCCATGCATCTTCAGCACCTGCTTTGGCCAAGTCCCACAACTCAGATTCACTTTCATTATTCCGGGGTTTGGGAATGACTGTTTGTTAAGCACCATAAATTCAGGGGAAACTCTTTAGTGGCTGCTAGGAAATTCTGAGCCTAGTCTCAGCTTGCCTCTTCTGGCCTCTAATGTCTGCATCCCAGTCCTGGAGTTAATACCTTCTGTCTGGCACAGTGTTATTGGGTCTGCTGTCAGTATGCTCTAGGAGTTACTCACTTTTCTCTGTCTAATGAACACTCTTTCCTTTTTCACAAAAGTGCTTCACAAATATGATAGAACAGTACAGACAGAAGAAACATCTTTCAAGGTTCATGAAAAAAAACTTCTTTTTTTTTTTTGCTTATTCCATCTTTGCTCCACCAGTTGTCAACATAGTGTTCCTTCTTGTTTTAGATCCAAACCCTTCTTGAATTTTGAGAGGATCTATAAAGGTTTTGCATTCATTTCAGGCCTTATCCAGGATTACAAATATATCTCTGAACTTTTTACAACAGCAATAATTCTGGTGCTCAGTTGCAAACCAAATGACATTTTCTGAAGTAACTGTCCTCTTCTTAGAAATATACAAGGAAAAATCACATCTCTCCATCCTGTGAAACCATGTGGGAGAAAAAACAATCCTAGGCACGGGTTTTGTTTTTCTGTTTGTTTTTTTTTTCAGATCTTGTAATGCTTGAAAACATTTCTAAAAGAGGAAGAAATTTACTTTTCTTAGTGGCAGATTAATCCATCTTTAAATTGGGCATTGGGGATAGAAAATATTCAAGAGACAAGTATTGTGAATGGTTATCTCTGACCATAATAATTTAGGATGTAGTCATCTACATTAATTGCTGTGAGGATTTAAACTATCTGTTACTCAGCAGTAAAAGGCTGGGAAGTGTTCTCATGTTGTTATAAATGCAGGGTTTGCTCCACTAAAAACATGGCAGAAGGCACATCACTGTTTTAATAGATGAGTTTGCAAACATGTGCACACAGAATGTAAAGGTCTATAACCAGAAGGACAGGTCTGCATAAATCCATACCTCCTATTGCCCAGTGAAGGAAATACTTGGCAGTTTTATAACATTGGAGCTGGTGGGTGGCTGATTCTGGGAAAGGCTAAAGACTTTCCTTGCCTTGGTTCAGAAACTGATATTAAATAGAAGTTATTTTCTGGATGTTGTTGAGTTATGCAAATTCAGCAAGCAAAATAAACAAACCAAACCAAACCAAACCAAACCAAAAAAACTCAAAAAACAAACTACCACAAACAAAAAACCACACAAACAACACCCTACACCAAAATGTTGTATAGTAAGAGCACTCTCAACTGTTGAGTTTGTTTTGAAGTTCATGTGTTACAAAGACCTAAGGGCCGGTTCATCTTTTAAGGCATTTTAAATTAATTTTCTTGCAGGAATATCCTTCAGAGTTACTTCATTAACATTGAGATTAATTTTTGCTATATTTCAGAGCAGATAACAATAGCTTTCACAGTGTCCATGGTGATCGGACTGGTGATTGGAGGCATCATCTGGGCATTTTTCACCTGCTTGTCCCGTCGCAGAGCTAGTGCCCACATTTCCCAGGGGAGCCCCTCATCCTTCAGCCGTCGGTCCAGACCTTCCTCCCATGGCCACAATGCCGGCAGGACTGGATTTTACCGCAACAGCAGCTGCGAACGTCGGAGCAACCTGAGCCTGGCCAGCCTCACCTTCCAGCGGCAAGCCTCCTTGGAGCAGGCCAACTCTTTCCCCAGGAAGTCAAGCTTCCGTGCATCCACCTTCCACCCTTTTCTGCAGTGTCCTCCCCTGCCCGTGGAGACGAACAGTCAGCTGATCACCCTCACTCCCACGAACACCACCACAACCCTCGTGGGAAGCACCACCAACAGCTTGAGTCGACCTGAATTCCACTGGTCCAACAACAACCTCCGCATCTGCCACTCCACGCAAACGCCGCCTCCCGCCTATGAAACCATCATAAAAGCTTTCCCAGAGTCCTGAGCTTTGTCCTAGCTGCAAACACACAAGTGCTTCTTAGGAGGAACCGCAATTATCTCGACAATTTTCTGTGCGTGATGAAGATCTCTGAGAAGTCTCCAGCTGCAGTTGCAGAGGGGACGTACTTTGCCAAGAGGCGCGTAGCAGTGATTTCATGGAGCCCAACATCCCACTGTCTGAGAGATCACTTGTCATTGCACTACTGGCTTCTATTTACTGCTCTGCTGTATGCTTGCATATTTATAGTGTTGTATCTTTAATTGCAGCCATTGTCTCTTTATTTTAGAGGGAAAAATGCTGCCACATAAAAACTAAATCATTTCTTGAAGAAACAGATAATACTAGAGATTACTGATATACACAGCATATCAATGCAAATTTCACTGTCCTTTTTTTTTTAAAGAAGTTTTGATTTTACATGTTTTTGTTATATTTTCAGAGAGCACCTCCCATTATCCACCTTCTTGCTATAACCCCAGAAGAGCTTCTGTCTGAGGAACCTTAAATCCAGACCTTGTAGAGGATGCAGTCCTGGCTGCTACAGACATCCTGTTGTTTTGATTGCAAAGATTCAATCTGAAAAGACTCCATATTAGGGATGCTTGCTTAAAATTCCCTACAGTGTGGGAAAAAAATGTGAAACATATATATAGCTTCATGCAGAAATAAGTTTTGAACAACATACTAAATGCATGATAACGATTATAAAGAATTTTCTGTCTGCAGCCAGCAGAACAGGTAGTCACATTTTAATACGCAGTGAGGCTGTATGGGCAGAACTCCTCATGTTTCATTTTTCTACTTCTGGTTATCCAGATAAGCAGTATGAATGACAACTATTTTTTAATTAAGTTTCCTGATTTCCTATGGGATTAGTCATTTCCTTATTTCAAATTGTTTTTCTCAAATTGTACCAACGTTTAATTCTTTCTTTTATTCACTGAAATCTTGTCTTTCACTAAAACAAGATTTCAGACATCTGTGGCTGAATACAGGGATTGTATAATGAATTGGGATATGAAGATAAAGACGAAGTATTTAGCTGAGGCTTACATATATTCTTGACTTTTATATGTGTATCATGCCAAGCTAACCCCTGGCTTAGTAGAGACTAATTGCTCTGATGTGACAAAATGTTCAGGATATGGAAATAGCAGAGACAAATGGGACCCGAATTAAGTCTTATTGTATCAGTTTCCTGTTAAATGTTTCATGGCCAAATTAAGGGCAAAGGATTTCCACAAGTGTAGAGAAGCTGTCCACACTCCATGCTTGCAAATATGCCTGTTGTTTCTAAAAGGTTTGGACAATACCAGCCTCAGAACTCCTGATTCTGTAGAGAGAACAAGTTCTTATCTCTCTTCTGGGAGGGACAAAGATTCAGCAGCTTCTGAGAATGGGCAAAATGCTTAACATCTCCCAGGTTTTCCAGGTTTTTGGAGAGTGGCAGCATGCATCTCTTTGCTGAGGCCAACATCCCTCGCGAGGCCCTGGCACCGATCTGTGATCCTCAGTATTCCAGCCCAATATCCACCCATTCGCAAATAATGCTACAAACATTGAGCTTACAAGCAACACTTACTGTAAACAAGTATTTCTTATTGCACAGGCAAATTATTTCGCATATATTTACTGACTGGATTTCATTGTTTCATTTTTAGTGTGCAGAACATCTGGAGAGATGTATGTCATTGCTAGAAGAACAACCATTTACAGAGTTTACAGAGCATTTCACTGCAGACACTATGAGTTCTAGCACACTCAGAACTTGCTGATAAGACTGTAACACTACATTTGGCTGATCACAGGCTACAGACTTAAAATAGCAGTCTTCTGAAGAAAGAAAGCTGTGCTTCTTCATTCATTAATGATTTTTTTTTTCATTTAGAGTTTTTCTGAGTCTGGTGGATTTCATTGCATGCAAAAATATGTTCAAAGTTTCCTTCCTATAGAATAGGTGATGCAGCCTATTCTAACCTGCCTACAAAAAGAAGAATTCAAGCCTGCTGTCTTTGTTTAGTGGGTTTGATGGACTGTGGAAGAGGTAACTTACCCTACCAGCTGTGTACCCAGTGTGCACCCAGCTGGCCAAAACTGCTTGTTCTTTGAGAGTGAAATCATTTTAGATGAGTGAGTTTTTACTTCTGGATTGTAAGAGCACATTACATTACAACAGAACTTTCCACAGCACAATTATGACACAATTATTACTTGTATTACACGGTATTTAGTAAACAATGTAAAGACGAAAGCTTAAATGTACTGTATTTTTTTTTTCCTCCTGACATCTGCACTGGATATCAAAACATTTCTTATGTGCCCTGGATTAGGGAGACTAAAACCACACGTTTGGTGCATAGCCAATATGACTGTCAGATGCCTAAAACTTGTTTTTACATTTGAAATAAATGTTTTGCAAGCATTCAGGAAGCTTCAGAATGTGGAATAAAGTTAGATGCTATAATCTCAAGCTCATGTTTTTTCTTAATGATGAATACGGTGACTTGCACAAAAGATCCTCTAAAGGGAAGAGTATTATCTTTAATTATGCAAGCTGATACAATTGAAATGTGAATGAGGACTCCCTCCTGTCTTTGATTCTGTGGGGAAACACCCAAAAACTGAAGATGTTATTTGAAGTCAGAGTCAGAATTTGTCCTATGAGAACAGCTTCAAAGGACTCTCACAAATAACAGTGCTTACAGGCATTAAATCCACTGGTTTCTAAGTACTTAGGCTTCAATTCACATTGTGTTTGAGCAAATGCTTGCTTTAAGTAAAAGGGCAATCACTATAAGGTTCATGCTTAAATGGACTCATGCACATTTTATTGCATTAGGACAAAAGCACACCACACAGGATCAGCTTCCAAATTAACACTGGGATTCAGGAATCGTGTATTCGATATGTAAAAAATTATATTTGCTTCATGAAATCATCTTTTATTTCAATACAAAATATGAGAAATAAGAGCTGAATTAAAACAGCGTATTACTGTAGATTTCAGGATTTCAGAGCATTCACAAGCATGAATTGAACTTGACAATTATTTTGCATGAAATACAATTAAAATGGTGCTCCTAGAATCACATAGGGACTGATAGGCAGAACTTTGATCAACATCCAGATATCCTGACACCCTGTTCTGAGTAAGCAGAACTACTTCTCCTCTTTATGGAGAGAAATACCAACCTGTTATTGTCCATGTCCACAAAGAGTCACTCCAGTTATGGGTTCATATAGAAGGTGAAACTTGACAGCTATTTATCAGAGAACATTTATATTCCATTTTATTTACAAAAGTAGCTCATGCTATATTCCTTGACCTTTCCCCACTGAACAGCTGCTGATCACCTCTTCAGACAGCCACTGATTACCATGCTGTACCACACTGAACATGCAGTACTTTTGCCAAATCATATTTTTAAAGTTCACTTGTAATTTATCATGAAGTTTTGAATCATCTCAACATCCATTCTTAAGTATAAACTGAAAACTATTCTCACTGGAAATATCCTCTCAGAGGTGAAATGACACATGCCAGATTCCTGACCTATAAGCATTTGATAAAATTATGTGATGCCTATGATGCAGTACAGTTTCTGGAACAAAAAAAAAAAAAAGAAAGAAAATACTAATAGGAAATTTACTTCTGCCAAGTCCAGAGCAGACTAAAGAAAAAGGTATTTATAAAACTTCAAAATACTGAGAACAATATTTTAGAAACTTAACTTTAAAAGTCTTAAAACTCAAGGAAAATACCTGTATCTTCATTTGGGTCTCTTAATAAAAGTGAGTTTTTAAAGGGATTGTGTTTGGAGCTCCTGTATGACTTTGTTTGGATATTTACCCTTCTGAGTGCCAAAAAGGATTACAAGATCCTGATCTCTTTTCAATCTAATATTAATACTGGCAACAACTGACTCAGTATTTTTCAACCAGCTGGACTAGAGAGTTCTGAGAAAACTACTGCAGCACTCAATAGGTGAACTACTGCTGGCAGCAGCTCTTTTTGAAGAGCACAAAAAACCAAACTGCCTCACACTGTAGCAGCAGCAACACCAGTGACTCCACTAAAGATCTCTGGCCTCCCTGTGCCGGGTGGAGTCTGTGCATTATTCTGTGCTTTATCCCTCAAACAGTGTGCAGGTTAAGGAAACAACTTAGGAAGAGTCTGGTTTGTGAGTCTTGTTTGTGCTTTTGACTTCTGTGGAAGCTTTTGGCTTCCATCAGGTTTCTGACGACACTAGTGCATGACTGTGGCAACGCCTGGATTGGACTGGCATGGACTGGATTGAGGAGCTATTTCAGTGAACATGTTTCCTGTCTGCATTCCCGGAGACATTCTGCATCAGAGACATGTTTTCATCTATTTAGCAGCAGAATCAAGTGATTGTGTGCTGAGGGCTGTGAAGGAGCAGTTGCCCTATTTTAGAGCAAGGAGTTCTTTTAAACAAGAGTAGCTTAATCATGAAAGGGATTACGCATAGTGATGGGACTGAGATAGCAGGAAATTGGATTTGCTGATTTAGGACATAACCGTCTGATGTGCCTATGACTAGCAACAGTATGGAAAGGCACTGGAATGCAAAATTATTCCTATTTAGTTCATGTTGGACCTGCAGCCATATAAATCCACCTTATAGCAGCATGTTGATGTGTAGAAAGGAAGGATGATGCTGCTCTCTTGTTTCAGCTTAAGAAGAGCACAAATCACAGCTGGGAGTGATAAGCATTTCTTTGTCATGTATGGAGAAGCTGGTTATTAATTGCACATTGAAATGGGATAAATCCCCTATACTGATGAGTCTAGGGCTTGAGCACACGGAGAGGCAAGCAGTCCCATTTTTGGTCCATGCTCAGTTCCTGTACTGTATATCTTGGTGATCTTTTAAAGTTGGTTTGGGTTTTTTTCAATAGGAGGGAAGAATTCCCTTTAAACCTTTTCTAGACAGATTGTAGATTTTCTTTTCTCCTTTAGTGCTTCTCCATTTAGTTCCACAGTAAGCTCTATCTGTGGATAAGTATGATGATAAAAATACCCAAATCTTCACTCTACCCCATCCTTTTGTTGTTCTGCCAGAACTTTCTTATACAGCAAATCACTTTGAGGAATTGATTAGTTTGTGTGTGATAAGCTCTCTAGCACTAGTTTGCCAGCATCAAAGCACTGATCTTTTTTTCTTTTTTCTTTTTTTCCTTAATCCCTTGGGCAAATGTCATGGAAAGATACAGACACCTTTTTGTCAGTATTAAGTGGCAGACAAATTTTCACAACATTTTGAATTGCGTTGCAAAATTCTCATAACTCCACAATGAACTAATACATGATGAAGATATTTTTGGATCATTTTGGGTAATATAAAACTTACTTCTATAAAAATTCCTGCACTCACAAGAACACATTTTTTGGGTACTTGTATATACACTAAATTAAATCTTTCAAAGCTTCCAAATGCTTCTAGGCATTGAATCATTTCTGACAAGGAAACTGAACATTAAATATGTTTCCACATCATGTAATCATGTTTGAAATGTATTAGCTTTAAAAAAATTAAGCTATCTCTGAGACACTGAAACTAAGCATTTTCAAATTTTTATCTCTTTTGCCAATACATGGAACCTGCTCTAAGGCAGAGACATTCCCAATAAAACAAAAAAAAAAAAATATAGGAGAGAAATAAGAACACTATGACAGCTCAGTGTAGATTGACAGGCTTCAACTAATCCAAATGCGTTGGAGAATGGCAGATTTACCATGACTTCGCAAAATAAGGGAAGTGTGAGTGTGTTTGATGTCCTGACAGTGTTCCTGAAAGATGCTTGAAATGGTCTTTCCTGATCATTCCCTGATCCATAACAAAGCATATGCTTCTGCATGCCTCTTCACAGGCGTTTTATAGGTACTGAAGGCTAGATGTCATCACATACTTTTGAGTGTATTTTCTCGGTTCATAGAGGTATAAATAGACGTTCCTTCTTCATTCAAAGCACCTGTAAGACATTAGATGGCTAGGTGATTTAAAGCTGCTTCCAATGCTGGGCATTACAGAGATTTAAAAATAAACCAAGAAAGTTTCAGACAGTCTTCTTGTGCTTGTACTCAAAATCTGAGTCACTAGCAATCAAAAAGTTTCAAGGCTAACTTTTTATTTAACAGTACAACAAAATAGTTGTGTTGGTTTTGGCTGGGGTTGGTTGTCTTCCCAGTATCCCTATGGGAGCACGGGGATATTTTTTGGATTTATGCTGGATGCAGGGTTGATAAAACAGAGATGATTTTGCTACTGCTGAGTGGGGCTTACACAGAGCCAAGGCCTTTTCTGCTTTTCCTACTGCCACATGGCAAGAGAAATTGGAGGTGCACGGGAGATTGGGAAAAGAAACAGCCAGGACAGGTGACCCCGACTGACCAAAGGGATATTCCAGACCACATTACACCATTCTCAGAATGTGTAAACTGTGGGGGAAGAAGGAGGAAAGGAGGATGTTTGGAGTGATGGTCTGTCTTCCCAAATAACTCTTATCTGTGATGGGGCTGCTCTCCTGGATGCCTGCCTGCTCATAGGAAGCAGTAGATTAATTCCCTGTTCTGTTTTTTTTTTGTGCGTGTGCAGTTTCTGCTTTCCCTATTAAACTGGTTTTTATCTCAATCATGAGTTTTCCACCTTTTACCTTTCAGATTTTCTACCTGATCCTGCTGCTGCAGGAGTGAGTGAGAGGCTGACTGGGCTTTGGTTGCTGGCTGGGTTAAACCACAATAGTGAATCAAAAGCAAATAAGAAATATATAATACAGTAATATTATATATTGCTGGACTTAAGGAGTAGGTTTGCAAATGGGGTATGCTAGACACACAACTGAGGGTCTTGCTGCACAGACCAAATCCAAAAAAAACCTTGTTCACAATCTACCCTTAACCTTCCAAATGCTCTGGCTGACTGCTGGTAGTTTAATCTATATTGCTCTATTACTGGCTGCAGTGAGATTACTCATATATTTAATAACTCTGCTGAATCAGAATATAATTTCATAAAGCACATCATTCTAGTTTAAGAACTAGTTTGATGCTAATTTAGGAACAGAATTTTTATCTGTCCAATTATTTCTGTTTCTTGAAAGGTTCTTCCCTGTGAAAATACAAGACTACCCTGCTCATCTTGCCTGTCCAGTCTCTCTCTGAGCATGTAAAAAGTCCTGCAGGGATATAAGGGTGATCCTTACATCCTTATGCAGACACATGAGAGGCTG